TTATTATTATTATTATTATTATTATTATTATTATTATTATTATTATTATTTTGGTTTTTTTCTTGCCTAGCCTAGTACTTGCTGTGTAGACTAGGTGGCAGACTCATAAATGCGCTTCCCTCTGCCCCCTGAGCTGGGGTTAAAGGCATGTGCCACCGCTGGCCAGCTTTAAAATGAGTTTTCTTTCTGTCTGCTTGCCTGCCTGCCTGTCTACTTACTCTACATCCTGATTGCAGCCTCCCCTCACAGTTTCATCCCCACATCCCTTTCTCCACACCCCTCTATTTTTATAGCAGTTTTAGGCATATGGAAAGTGACACAGTGCGTACAGTGACCTCCCGATGTGCCTCGCACTGCCAGTGTCTCTTGTTAGTAACAAACACCTTGCATTGCTGTGGCACTTGATGGAACTGAGGAGCCGGTTTGGATGTATTACTTTTAAGTGTGTAGGCTTACCTTTGGCTATGCACATTCTGCAAATGTAGACAAATATGGCCGCCTCTGCAGTACCAGGCTGAGAACTTGCACTGCCCTTAACTGCCTTTGGACCTGGCATTTCAGTTCCTGAGTTCTGGCAGGAATCACTGTATTTTTCTAGTACTTTCTTGGCTATAGCACCTTAGAAATGTGTTAAATATTTTGACCACACCGGCCTCCTTCCCTTTCTTTGCCTTTGTCTGTCTGTCTGTCCTTAACATTATGCTTTTTTACTTCACTCACTGTATTTTATTGAGTAGCAAGGAGATGAGAGCTTAGACAGTTGTGGAAGGGTTTGTTGAGTGTGTTCTTTTAAGAGCCAGAATTGTACCTCACAGAAATCATTGAGGAATTACCTTTCAACTTTGTTTGGGAAGCAATGGCTTCTAATGCCATTAAGGGGGGTATTCCCTTAATATATTTTGTGTTTAAATTGGAGTTGCATTTTTAATGGAAACATTGCTGTGTTCCAGGCCACGATTTTTCAGACTTTGCCTCTGCAGCAGGTGGAAGCCCAGGTCTCTTCAGTCTCCAGTCAGCAGAGCTCTCAGGCAGTGACAGATGTAATTCAGCAGCTTCTGGAACTGTCTGAGCCGGGGCCAGTGGAGGCGCAGCAGTCCCCACAGTCTGGGCGACAACTCAGTGTGACAGTGGGCATCAACCAGGACATCCTCCAGGTGAAGCGCGCTGACCTGCTGGGCAAGGCTTCCACATTTGGGTTCTCAGAAATCCGGGTTTGCTGTTGAGCAATAGAAATGCAGGCCTATGCCATTACCAACATGAAGTGCTGAGTTCTAAACAGTTGATTGATCTGTACATTCACTTATGGTCTCCATAAGTGAACCAACTGGACAAGTTAGGTAGTCCTGTGTCCATCCCTGCTGAGAGAGTTGGAAGAAGTGTTTCATTCTCCCTGAGATGCAGGTGTGCTGTTCAGGCCATCTGAAGCGCGCATTAGAGTGCGAGTGGCCCAGCACATCTGGGGGATGAGGGGGAAGAAAGTTGATAACACTTTCTTAGTTCCCACTTTCTGGGCTTTCTCAGAAGTGCGTGGCCTCCCACAAGGTGGCTGTCCTCTTTTCTCTGTGCCTGATGATAAGCTGGGTAGGGATGTCAGGAACTCGGGACTGGATGTGTCTTAGAGGTCTCCTAAGATAGTTTGTGTCCCAGATGTGTTTATAGCAGCCCAGGTGGTCTGAGAGAAGATTTCTGAATGTTAATGATTTTCAGTCCATTAATTTAAGAACTGTAACTAGACCATGTTTTGGGTAGCATCAGATGTCAGCTCTTAGGGGTTTGGCAGCCTCTTAAACAGTTCTCTTGGAATTGTAGAGCTTATTTCTTGGAGTGGAGTTGGTTCTGGGGTAAAACTTTATGGCATCTTGGGGTAGCTTTTGGTAGGCACATTTGGGCTGTTGCCTTTTCTAACCTTATAGTTTTGTTCTGTCTCAGCAAGCCTTAGAAAACAGTGGGCTGTCTTCACTTCCAGTTGCAGCACCTCCCAGCGACTGCAGCCATGCTCAGACGTCTACAGTGGCTCCTCAGAGTCCACATGCCTCTAGTGTTGCTGCAGAGCAAGCTGATCCCATGGATGCAGGGCAGGAAAAGGCGCAGGAAGGCCCTGAGAAGACGGATAAGAAAGAGAGGAAAATCATGAAGAAGAAATCTCCGTTCCTACCTGGTAATTTCCTCTATTTTTTTTCTCTAAGATACTTGGGTAGTGCCATGCTTGTGGTAGGAAATGTGCCTCCCATTTTTCTGAAGGGATATCTTCAAGGCATGTTCTGAATCTTAGCTACAGTTGCTTGGGTGACAACACTTCTTGATGGCCTCCTTAATTCAGAGGGCTTCTTTCCTGTGTCTCTTCACAGGGCTGGATCACAAAGTGTCTTTGTTTTATTACTGTTTCATTTGGGTGCTTCTACCAATGCTGGATTCATTGCTTCAATTCTTGCTTTGGCTGCTGCTTGCCCATGGCTCCCTTGTCTGAGCCTCCTAGTGCACTCATTCTTCTTGGGTGCTGCCACTTGACAGCGCCCAGCCCCGCTCCACTTACACTGCCAGCCTGTGTTACTCAGGCCTGGCCTTTTCCTTTGTTGTGAGTCTTCCTTTCCTTGGCCCCACCTATATGGAGGCTTTCTTGTGTTGTTCAACAAGTCATTTTACTTTACAGATGGATTCCTGCCATCCCAAGCATGCTCTCAGGGGCTTTTCTGCACTGAGAATGTCTTTCCCTGAGCCCTTCCTGTCACTCTAGAAACTCTAGCTGTTTCTCAAGGCTGCCCTTAGTGTGATGTCTCCTGACTAAGCTCATTCTGATGCCATCTTGTACAGCATCCTGTTGGGTGGTGTGATCCTTGCTAGGAGCTGTTGTGCCAACACAGTCACTGTCCCTTGCTGCACTTCACCTCTCTGGGCTGGAGTGTACTTTTCTTGGTTGACTCCCAGGCTACATGTTGCTCTTTCAGAGTCCTGTGTTTCAGGTCCTGTACACAGACCTCTCATGACTGCAAGGCCTGCATGGCCATCTCTGTGGGCATATCTTTCCTATCAGTAGATACTTTGTCATCAGTGACGTGTGAGAGGGAGCCCTGCTTTCTCATTCAGCCGGACATTGCAACACCATTCTTCTGTTCCCCTTGATCTGGCCAGTTGTTTTCTTTGTGAAAATCGGTGAAATGAAGCATCTGGATTGCATGTCTGTAAGGGAACAAGGAAGGGATAAAAGCTATATTTGTATGTCTATGCTTCTAATGAACAGATGCAAATTCAAAGCCCATGCCATGGAACCTTTTACAGGAGTTATCATGACTCTTGTTTAGTTATTGAGCTAAATTAAAGATGTTCACAGACCTGCCTGCAGGCCAGATCTGAGGAATAATCTGTGTGAGTTATTTCTTTCATTGCTGTGACTGTGTTTTTGAAAGAAGGAACTTACGCCTGGAAGAGGTGTTGCTTTGGCTCATGGTAGAGTACAGATGATCATGGCGCATGAGGCATCCCGTCACATTGCATCTCCCAGTCAGGAGGCAAGAGAGGGGTGTGGTGCTCAGCTCGTCTCTCTTCTCATTCGACCTGGGGCCCAGCTTACCCTCCGTCAGTTAGCGGGTGTGATTCTGCGTCTAACTAGCGTAATGATGACAATTAACCATCATAGTTTCTTTATGTCCACAAGCATGGCTTTCCTCTTCTTGATGTCTTGTGAACTTTCCATAAGACCTACTCTTTTCTCTCACCCTTTTTCTTTCTTTTTTTTTTTTTTTTTTGGCACAAATTGTCTTTAGATTGCATTTCCTGTTTGTTGTTGGTATATGGAAAGGTGATTGAGTTTTATGTATTGATTATGAATTCAGCAACTTGTAATATCGCTATTGTAGCAGCTTGTCTCTAGATGACTTTGTGTTTTCTATGTAGGCAAAAACATTTTAGATTGCTTATTTATTGTTTGTGTGTATATGTGTGTGTGTCAGACTATTACTAGCTGAATTTCTTCCTTCCTCCACATGGATTCCAGGGATTGAACTCAGTTCAGACCTGGTGCTAAGTGCCTTTATCCATGGAACCATCTTGCCAATTCTTTAGAAAATTTTAGTTATGTGCGTGTGTGTATGTCTGTGTGTGGGTCGTGTACACGTTAGCGCAGGTGCCAACGGAGGCTACTGGTATTCAGTCTCCCTTGAACTGGAGACACAGTAGTTCTGAACCACTGATGTAGGCTCTGGGTCTTCTATGAAAACAATATATAGTCTTAACTGCTGAGCCGTCTCTCCAGCTCACACGTAGACGTTTTCATTGTGGAAGAGCAACATCTGTTTTTTTGTTTGTGACATGCTATATCAGCATAGCCATGGCTGGTCTGGAACTTACTATTAGCCCAGACAGCTCTCTAACTTGAGTGATTTTCTTGCTCTGCCTACCAAATATTAGAAATAAAGGCATTTACCACTGTTTTTGGCTAATTCATTTTTTTTGTTGTGGTTACTGTTTGTTTTTTTAATTTTTATTTATTAGGTATACAGTGGTTTGCCTACATGTAACATCTGCATATTAGAAGAGGGCACCAAACCTTATTATAGATGTTGTGAGCCACCATGTGGGTGCTGGGAATTGAACTCAGGACCTTTGGAAGAGCAGCCAGTGCTCTTAACCTCTGAGCCATCTCTCCAGCCTGTGGTTACTGTTTTTGAGATAGGGTCTCTTTCCATATTAGTTGGTTGTAGATGAAGGTCTAACTCAGCCTCCTTAGTGCTGGGATTGTAGGTGGGTGTCATCATACCTGACTAGTGATTTTGTTCCTTTTTTCGTTTTGTTTTAATTTTTTTTTATTAATTACACTTTTATTTACTTTGTATCCCCCCTGTAGTTCCCTCCCTCTTCCCTTCCCAATTTCTCCCCTTTTTCCCCTTATTCCTCCCCTCTTCCCCCTTCTTCATGCATGCCCCTCCCCAAGTCCACTGGTAGGGGAGGTCTTCTTTTCCTTCCTTCTGATCCTAGTCTGTTAGGTTTCATCAGGAGTGGCTGCATTGTCTTCCTCTGTGGCCTGTTAAGACTGCTCCCCCCTCTTGGGGTGGTAATCAAAGAGCAGGCCAATCAGTTCATGTCAGAGACAGTCCCTGTTCCCATTACTATGGAACCCACTTGGAGACTGAATTGCCATGGGTTACATCTGTGCAGGGGTTCTAGGTTATCTTCATGCATGCTACTTGGTTGGAGTATCATCTTAATGTGTTGATTTGTCTTTCTTAAATGGACTTCTGTAGATATGCTGGCAGAAGTTTGCTTCCTACTCAGTTTTCAGGGAATGATTTTAATGCTTTATGATTGAGTCAGACTTAGGAAATGCTCTCCTATGCTTATTTTGCCAAATATATTCTTTGTAATCCTGTTGAGTATTACCAGCTTTTTTTCCCTTTCCTTTGTTGTGTGATCATATTGTATTATGTTCACTACAGAGGGTGGTGAGTTATAGTAGTTGAATTTAGGTTATGATCCTTCCCCACTCTGTACGCTGAAGGGAAAGAAAGAGGGAGGGATAGAGCCAGATATGCTAGCAGCACACTCCATCCTTAGCCCCTCAACTCACCCCGGCCTTTTTTTTCTTTTTATAGTACATTGCTATACTTGGTTGGCCTTGTTATTTTAGATTTACTATAATGTTTATGCATATATCTCTTTGTGAAAAGAGAAATTCCAGCATTCCTGATATGAAGGAAGCATGGAACATTGAGAGATCTAATCCTTGTGGCCTGTTTCCCTGGAAACGGAGCTGAGAATAATTATTTGAAACTCCATCGTGGACTGCTGACACATTTCATTAAGTTATGAGTCATCATTAGAGCATCTTTACATATGTAGGCATCCTTGCTGAGGGTGCTTTGTGTGGCTGAGGCCATGTGCCAGAGAAGGTTGTTCTCCGTGCCTCTGCACAACTTGGGAAGCCAGCACCAGTTGTGTCCTCCCTGGTGAGGTTTATTATAAAGGTGCCAGAGAGCACTCACAGTGATGCACTTGTGACCAGCTCTCCTTGTGGCTCTCCAGGCCTTTTCCTAACTGGGAGATAGCACCTTTCTGGTATTTGAACACTGACATCCAGCTTCTCCTTGGATGGCCATAATCAGCCCCATGACACTCTTTGCTGCACAGTGAACCACTAAAAATGCTTGAAGGAACACAAAGCTTTTACGGTGCTTGCTCAGCCTGGGAGTACAGCTCAGCACTAAGCTGGAGGTTGAGCTGCTGTCTCAGGATGCCTGTGTCTTAAACTGGCCTTGCTGCTGAGGAGGAGGAGCCCCGGACTCCTCCTTCAGTCTTTGTGCATGTGACTGATGAGGTGGCAGAGATGGAACTTCATATAGTAGGTCAATGTGCTGGATAGTTTGTGTCAACTCGACACAATCCAAAGTCATCTGAGAAAATGTCATTTCAGAAAATGCCTCCATTAGATTTAGCTGTACACAAGCCTGTGGGCATTTTCTTAGTGATTGATGGGGAAGGGTCCAGTTCATTGTGGGTGCTGCCATCCCTGGGCTGGTGTCCTGGGTTCTATAAGAAAGTAGGCGGAGCAAGCCATGGTGAGCAAGACAGTAAGCAGCACTTCTCCATGGCCTCTGTAGCAGCTCCTGCCTGCAGGTTCCTGTCCTGTCCTGAAAGGTGCTGTGGAAGTGTAAGCCAAAGAAACCCTTTCTTCCCCAAGTTACGGTCATGGTGTTTTGTTGTAGCAGTAGAAACTCTAACTAAGACAGTAAATAATTTGGTGTTGAAGGAGCTTATTAACTCCATTTCTAAGAATGTCTTTTCCTTTGAATATTTTAAAATTTCATTTTAGAGTCTGTTTATGTCTGTGTATGGGTGTGTGCGCGTGGGCGCAGGTGCTGTGCAGGCCAGTGAGGGTGTCTGAGTTGCCAGAGCTGGAGTTCCAGGCTTTACTGGACAGGGCTGTTAGTCCTCTTCCTAAAGGTGCAGCCCGTGGATGAGGACAGGGGTTCAGGCCGAGGGGGTGAGCGGTGCCGAGTCACCACACAGATGCTGGCAGTCAGGTGACTGCAATCTGAGGGCAAGGGGATGCAGACTCCTTTATTCCGAAAGAGAGAGCTCAGTATATAGCTTTGGGCGGACCAGTCAGGTTTCTTCACACCACCTCCGAGCCTGCCACTGGTTGTTGGTCTCTGGGCAGGCTCCTCA